CCACTGGTGCATAGACTTGGACTACTGTGATGTTGAATGGTTTGCCTTGGATTTGAACTGAGATCATTCTGTCATTTTGGAGATTGTATCCCAGTACTGCTTTTCCTACTCTTTTATTGACTATGAAGGCTACTCCATTTCTTCTGAGGGATTCTTGCCCACAGTAGTATACTTGCTGGTCATCTGAATTAAATTCACCCATTCCTGTCCATTTTAGTTCACTGATTCCTAAGATGTTGACGTTCAGTCTTGTCAGCTTTTGTTTGACCACGTCCAGTTGCCTTGATTCATGGATCTTACATTCTAGGTTCCATCTTTGCAGCATCAGACTTTCCTTTCACCACCAGATACTTCCACAACTGAGTGTCCTTTTGGCTCTGACCCAGTCGCTTCATTCTTTCTGGTGCTACTAGTACTAGCCCTCTGCTCTTCCCCAGTAGCATATTGGACACCTTCCAACCTGAGGGGCTCATCTTCCGGTGCCATATCATTTTACCCTTTAGAATTTTACATGGGGTTTTCATGGCAAGGGTACTGGAGTGGGTTGCCACTTCCTTCTTCAGTGGATCACGTTTTGTCAGCACTCTCTGCTATGACCTGTTCATCTTGGGTGACCCTGCATGGCATAGCTCATAGCTTCATTGTACTACACAAGCCCCTTCACCATGGCAAGGCAGTGATCCATGAAGGGGAAATACACTGTACTAGGGAACTATTGGTAAATTGTCTTCTGGACAAACCGAACCAAAAGAAGACCAAATAAGGACTATGCCATACTGAGCGCCCTGTTGAAACTGCAGGTTAAAAACAGGTCCACAAAATAAAAAAATATTTCTCTGTTCGCACACACACACACAGATAAATCCCTGTTATTTTCACGTCTCTGTAAAGTGTAAACCATTACCAATGATTTCAAAACCTGTGACCGATCAATGAACTACTGCATAGCTGCATTCAGCACAGCATTTACAAGTTAAATTCTTGCTGACTAAGACAGTTCTTCATCTTTAATAAATGTTATGATAACTGGGAGTTGGTGTCTTTAAAAGCTTGAAATAGGACTTCAAACTTGCAATTTACACTTCATATCATATCTGTTAAAACATTTACCTTTACGTTTTTCTTGAAGAACACCATGGACTGAAAAAATCTGACACAGAAGAATGCTCATATATGTCTGTCTGCAAGTTTGTTTTTTTAATGCATTACAACAAGGGCATAATGAAAGAGATAGCATTAGAGAAAGATTGGAACATTCTGGCCTGTGTGATATTTTCATGTGTTCATTCCTTAGCCCATTACAAGCTGCTTTGTTTCCAGATTATGCTGCACTGTTAATTTGCATACATAAAAATCAAATTTCAATATGTATTTTTAAAGAATGCCACATAGTATAAATTTCTTGATGTATTCTCTCAAAGCTGAATTTTAAATGTATGTTATGATAGATGAATTATTTTAAATGCATGTTTAAATGCAAGAACTATGTTGCTAAATTTAGCAAAGTACAAAATCCAAGTAAGGAATAATTACATTATGACTTGCACTTTACTTCAGGAGCAACATATCAGGTCAGTTTGCACAGTTCAGTCCAAGTTTCTCAAGCATTCCTGAACCAAGCAACAGTGATCCACACTCTGGTAACTTCTCATTTGGGCTATTGTAATGTGCTCTACATGGGGTTGCCTTTGAAAATGGTCCAGAGACTTCAATTGGCTCAAAATAGAGCAGCGAGACTGCTAAAAGGAACTGGCTGAAACAAAAATATCAAGCCAATCTTCCATCAGTCACTCTGGTTACCAATTGAAGTCCAGGCCCAATGCAAAGCGTTAATGCTAACATTTAAAGCCCTAAGTGGTTTGGGACCAGTTATCTGAAAGAATGCTTCCTTCCCTAAGTGCCTGCCTGAATCCTGAGACCATCTGTAGAGGCCCTTTTCAAAGAGTCCCCTCTAAACAAGCAAGGAGAGTGACTACTTCTAAGTTGTGGGACCCCATCTATGGAATCAGCTCTCCAAAGAAGTGCAACTGGTGCCACTCTTTGTTCCTTCTGGTGCCAGGTGAAAACCTTTTTACTCTCCCAATATTTTACTAGTTAGATTTGTAGTCTCATTTTTACTATATTTTTACTGTACCTCTAAGATTGATTGAGCTGTGGTGGCTGTAACATTGTATTATTGTTTTTATGGTTATTTTATGATGACTGATGTATATTTATTATTACATTTTTGCCAGGGAACCTTTAAGCTGGTGGGTGGTGTAAAAATATAATGCATAAATAAATACATAGCATTATACTAGATTTAAATCCTGCTTTTTTCCTGTGCGATAAGTTGGACTGAGAACCAGTGACTGGCCCAAAGTTGTCCAGTGAAATTCACAGCTGAGTGGGGACTACAACCTTGATCTCCTGAGCCCCAGTTCAGCACTCTAACCACTATACCACACTGGTTCCCAGTTACTATCCTCTACCAACTCCACTGGAAACCATTTGAGCTGATTTGTTCATTTCCTACTCTTCTTATGGAAGATAGAAGGCAATGACTGAACCAAAGGATTGATGGTTTTCCTATCAATCCAGCCAATTCCTGGGATCCCAGAACTGTAATCACTGGAAGGGTACATCACATGACAGTACTGACCAGCTGGCTAAAGGCAAGTAGTTGAATAAGTAAAAACAAAGGACTATTTAGAATGGACAATCCTTTTCCCCAGTTGATCTTAAAAGTTGAAATTATATTCCAGTCCCTGACGTGAAGCTGGAAAATACTGATTATTCCGAAATGCGCATTCATCAAATTAAAAACAAAATCAAACACAAAAATCACTGTGTGCCATTTATTTTATTGTTGTCTAATGAATTTAGACAGATTTTTATTCCTAGCTTGTTTGGAAGGTGGTTGGAATACTCCATAAGTTTCCAACACTTTCCTTATGTTTTATGCTTCTGCTGGAATATATGCATTCCAGCTTAATACACAATATTGAAAGCTATGCCACTCAGTATTATTAGACTATGTTATACAATGTTCAGCCAGCAGTTCAAAAATATTTTAATGTATGCCACAAATTTATTTTATACTGAATAACCTAGAAAAGAGTGTATTTAATAATGAGATCTGCTATTTCAAATGTTGACATCCATTCTTAAAAACCTTTTCCTGGAAATTCATTTAAATAGTTTATCACATCCACCTTACAGTTTGGTTCTGCATAATGATGAACATTCCATCAGCATTTTTTCTACCTCTTTCTAATCTTCAACCAATTTTTATCTCTAGTACCAGTTGGCTAACAAAACCTGCCAGACTATCTCAATAATGCATTTTTCATTGTACTCCTTTATTGTTTTTAAACTTTAATTTACTCCAAAGACAAGGATAAAATATTAAACAGCTGACATTTCAAGAACTCTATTAAAATTGCAATTTAAGACTTGCCTTAATAGGTTCATGATTCACTGTATTTAATGCTACAACCCACCCTGACACATGAGAGCTCAACATGGGTATGGGATCAGTGAACAAATAATTTCTATAGCACTCAGATCATCTTGAAAATAGACAGATAGTCTGAGAGCAGAAATATAGGCCTTTATTACCTTATGGAACGGCATTTCTCAAAAGTTTTGTAGTGAAGTCCAAACTGCTCGGTTCAGTTCATGACCACAATATTATCACCATATAAAGGGAATTATTGTTACTCTTGCTCATGGCAGCAAAAGCAAATCTTGTACCAAAAAAGCAGGAGGAGAAGAGCAAAGTGATAAAGTGGATGGAATCTTCTCACCATGAAGATGCTTAAATCAAAACAACAGTGGCCCTTACCAGTCCTGAAGAATTCCTTCTAACATAAGCATCTAGCTGACATAAAAGGCTCTAAAATGTCACAGTTAGCTGACAAAAAGGCACTATTATGCTCCAAAATTTTATCTATATTTGGTTACTGAACTTACATCTTTAACCCATAATACAGATTCATATATGTGTGTCATATCAGGGCTCTTACTCAGCTGAAAGGAATTATGCTTACAATGGAACAAGAACTGAAACACGATTTTAAATGTGATATTCTTGAGGTCCTTTTGGTCATCCAGGTCTGTAGAATTTGATTACATTCTTAATATCATCCTTTAAAAAAAGCAAAAGGACTGGTCTTCTGATCTGCACTATTATTGGAGTCGATTTCACTCTTTCTGTCATCCATTGCCATGATGAACCTTTCCCAAGATGACATCTCCTATGATCAGTTTATATTTCACCATTACTTAAAACAGATACAAGTTTTCTAAATAAATAAATAAAATAAATAAAATACATTTTTGAAAGTTTAAGCCATGCTAGAACATAATAAATGAAGCAAATCTTTAAGAAATAGTCTTCAATGTTTAGTAACAGTTCTAGGAAATTGTAAACGCATCTTACCTATAAATAAAGGGTGCTACTGTAGCTGTATTAGGATGGCTGTATTGCTGTTGCTGAGGAAGTTGGACAATACTGTTTCCTGTTGCTTGCCCACTACTTGCAGCATTTGAAAGAGCAGCAGATGAACTAGGGGTAACAGCTGTGCTAGATTCCTTTCCTTCAGAAGATGGGAGGCCAGATGGAATGCTGGGATTTGGGGATTTTGCTGTGGAGGGTGGCTGGTTTCCTTTTGTACTCCTCAGTTTTTCAGGCTCTTTATTTCCGGAAGATGCCGGTGAAGTACTTTGCTTTGATGTAGGGACTTTTGATCCAGGTTTTGGAATCCCACTTGATGAAGGTATTAAACTTTCCTTCTTGGCTGATGTAGCCTTGCTCCCCTTGGGGATCAGGCTTGCGATTTTTGAGGTCTTTTTTGCAGGTGTCTCTGCGGCCGGGTCCTTTTCTTCCTTTCCTGGCTTCTCAGTGCAAACTTTATTTTTGTCCCTGCTCTTTTCATCTTTGTCCTTTGGCTGTAGCAAAGACTTTTTATTGCTGAGATTTTTGCTTCCAGCTTTTGGAGGGGTAAGTTTCGGTGAGATTTTAGGGCTGCTGGTGGTGGTGGAACCACCACTGTTGAGCCCTCCACTAAAGCCATCCATTTCTCCACAATCCAAGAAGGTCTCCTCATCCCTCCCAGTGTCACTGGGACCTGAACTTGATGACAAGGGAGCCCGCAAAACAGTCCTTGCATTAACCAGCTTGAATTTCTCTAGCATGGATTTCTGCCCAGATGAAGGTGTTTTGGGTCCTTCAGAAAGGGGTGGCTTAGACCTATCTGAAGATGGCGTGGGGGAAGTTGCAGGACTAGGCTGTTTGACAGACAGCATGGTAGAGGTGGCACTATGTTTGACATTCATGGATTTGCTGCGCCAAGGCTTGCTGGCACTTGGAGAAGGGATGGCAGAGACCGGCTGCTGCCCAGTGCTGGTGGGATGCTGTGCATTTCCATTCATGCCTGCAGATGGGTGAGGACCTTTGGGTGATTCTATTTCAAAAAAGAAAGAGAAGTTAAATTTGCTGAGCTTTCTAACCTTCTCTAATACAATGTCATCTCAATTAAGTGCACATTCAGAAGCATAATTACAGCTGAGCTCTCTCAAAGGCTGCCCTCATTGACCTAACTTATATACTTAAGCCTACCCCATCATTTCTTCAGAACTTCCTTTGTACAAGCTTCTGAAAAATTGCAACATAGATATACCATTTTATTGCTGCAGCCCACTTCTTCACAAGCAATATACTATAATGATGGTTGGTTGAAGGAGTTGCCTAAACATTAAAATATACTTCACACTGCAAAAGGAAATGGAAATTTGCCAGACAGTCATATTTAACTTGGAGTCCTGCACTGAGTGGGGGGATTGGACTCAATGGCCTTCTTGGCCCCTTCCAACTCTACTATTCTATGATACTATGATAAAAGGAAGAGGGACATGGACTTGCTAGAGGTTTTAATTATTTCCTTAAAACTTAAATGTATAAATTTAGCACCTTATCCTATGAACTGCACTGAGAGAAAACCTTTATAACTACAGGTAAAGGGTGTTGCAAACCATCCCAGAATGTTGTCCTAGAACAAAAACTTGGGTTGTGCCATGGGATCTTAACTTCCACAGAGCAAGAGACTATCACAATTTTATCCATAAAGAAGCAAATGGAGAGGAGTTATGGTAGGGATCCAACAAGTATGGAAACAATATCCTAAATGTGTCTTTCAAGAGGTCCCTTTGTTCATCTAGGGCTGCATAATCCTGCGTGTCTGATATAATTGCAAAAGACAGACAGTGCAGCAGGATAGAGATTCCCCTCATATAAGATTCCTACAGCCATTGCTATGTTGGGACCAGGCATCTCCACCAGCATGGATACATCTATCAAAGCAGAGGTATGGCAGCTTGAATATATAAGACTGCCAGATCCAGTCAGTCTGGCCGGGTGAAGTTAAGGTTATTAATACCATTTTACAATTGGCCGCTATGATATTCAGCAGGTGCAATTACCCTCAGGTCTGCTGCTCTACAACACTGCTGTTACAGAAGCAAGATTTCCATTGGCAATCTAGGAAAATATTGAAAGGCCAGAGGTGGAGCACTTCCTTTGTAAAAACTTCAAGAGCCACAAATGTAAATTTTGCAGAAAATCTTGTAGGCTGACGAGCGTAAAACAATTTTTGATGGTTAAAGGAAATGAGCAGTGATAAAGTATCAGTAGGAATTGTGGTAGCTGTAGCAACAGCAAAGTCCATTCCTACAAGGTGGTTTTGTTTTGGACCGTTCATTTTACAACAGTTTACCCCACACGTATGCTGGTGGAATTGAATCTCACTAATGAAAAAAGGACGGATGTAGATGGAAAAATGGTGCCTCTATAAATAAAATAAGAAGTGTTATTGCACTGAACTGAACAAAGACTGGAATCTCCATAGGACTCAGGTTTCAAAGGATAAAACAATTTTAACTCTTAGTTTCATGCTTCTTTCTGTTCATAACAGAAACCTTCAAGGGTGAAGCACTTAACAATACCAGAAAAATGTGTGTGTAACTGTAGGTGGCTTTTCCTGAAATGATGCAGAAATGAAATGTGTGGGGAGTGGAACGCGAGAGCTGAGATTTAAGGAAACAGCAGTTAAGAAATTCTGCTTTGGCGGGCAAGCACAGGAAGCCAGGCTTTTGGTGATTGGTGATTTGAACTACTAGACTGTGCAGAAGATGTCTTCATTGCAGCCCATCAAAGCTAGCTTTTCTGGCTGACTGGCTACCAAGGTGAAAATAGAAGGGGCCACATCCCAAGTTCAGTCTCTTAGCTCCCTCTAACCTGATCATCTGTAACAGCTACAAATGTTAGAAAGGAGCAACACAAATTTGAGAGTAGTAAGTTTGGATGAAAAGAATGCAGTGGAAAAGGACTGACTGCCCTTGCTGCTTCCCAGCACCCCATTAGATTTCCTTCCTGCACAATCTTTGAAGACAAACTTCCCAATTTCCATGTACATGTACCATATGTTAAGCAATCAAACCAGTGCAGGGTAGTGGCAATATCTGAGCAGACTATTTGAACAATAAAAACTAGGAGTAGATTCACAGTGGTCTTGCCTGTGTGCTCACATATGGGGTCTGAATATGGGGAATTATATATTCCACACATGTAAGTTTTTAATCACAAATGTAAGTTTTTAATGGTTCACACTGTTCTTTTTTCAAGTTCAATTTTGCATTACAAAGGAATATGACTGCCTTCAGTTTAAATCCCAGCACTGTAGGTAGTAGACTGGGAACCAGACAACTGGGTAGGGTACCATGTGTCCTCTTTTACAGGTCAGTTCTTTAAATTAGCAGCACGATTTGTAAATCTGCTATTATACATATAAACTAGCATATACACATTTTGTGCAAACTGGTGTCATCTTTCATTCTCATTTTTGGTGATGCATTTCCTTTTTATGGAAATTTCTGAGTGGCTCTGAGTGGCCCAGAGCTCTTGTGTGACAGAATAGACCATACAGGACTATCTGGCTAACAACCTGGCTGAAGGCCAAACTTAACATTTATTTGGCCTTCTTTGTGTACCATTTCCTACTATAAATTGCATCAGTGACAAGTTTTTTTTTTAAAAAAACTTCTTTATTTCTTTACTTCAAAGTACAGTCCTGATGGAAATCTCCCTCTGAAGTTTCTATCTGGAGTGGGAGGGAAGCTACAGGATTACTTCATGGAGACAAAGAGTGAAAAATTCCTTCCCCTGCCTGCAGACCTGATCTTGATTCTTCCCTACTACCACTACTCTGACATGTATGTATGGGTGTGAAAGGGGACAGGAAGAAATCGCTATATTTGAAATTTATGGTGCTGGAGAAGAACTTTCTCAAATCAAATCAAGCCAGAACTTTCCTTGGAAGCAAAAAATGATGAAACAGAGGCTGCTATGCTTCAGGCACATCATGAGAAGGTGGGAAGCACTGGAGAAGACAATAATGCCAGGTAAAGTAGGCAGAAGCAGACCAAATATGAGATGGATCTTCCATAAAGGAAGCCACAACATAGCCTTTACAAGATCTGTGTAGAACTGTCCAGGGCAGAGCATTTTGGAAGGCACTCATACATAGGTCATTATTAGCCAGAGATAACTTGATGACACATTACAAGAACATCTCATGGAGTCTGGCCTCACAGGCACTCATTGCTGGCACATCTGCCTTCCTTGATCCATTTGAAACTACCTGCAGTCCTTAGAGCAATAAGAAAAAGAGAGGATGAATTACTATTCCAGCAACAATATACTCTTTCCTGTTATAATGCTGAGCATTTTGTGGTGATTTGGTCTTAACGTAGGTTTACAAGAGATCTGCTTCTGCAGAGGTGAAACACTGTTTTATTGTTATGGATCGACTTTGCAGCCTGTATTTTGGTCACTCTGTTTTGGGATGGGGGCTATGTGGACAATGAGTGCCTGCATTTCAGAAAGTACCACTATATCAATTCAATCATGGCTAAGATTCAAAGAACAACAATTAAGCATGGAAGATAAAATGACAAGAAAAGGCCATGTCTATGTGTGTAATTTCAGGACCTAAAGGAAAATAATTTGTCTTTTTTAGCTCAGTTCCAACCCAACATCTATTCCGACCATTATGTTTGAGATGCAGGGCTGCAAATTTTATAATAGCATTTAAACATAAACACACATAGCATATTTTTGAAACGTAAAGGAAGCTATATGAAAAACATGTGCAATGGTAATGAGACTCTCCAAATTAAGTCCATATTTTCTGAACATGTTATTTACCCATTAACACATTATGTCAAATTAGAAAAACGAGGTGTTAAGAGTGATTAGTTCTACAAAACCACTTGTTTTGTTTGCTTAACCACTATGCATAATGTGATTATTTAGATCACATGTTTTTAGTGTCTGAAAGGAATTTCTAGCAAAGAGCTGTGTTATTCAGTGCTATAGCACTCCCAATAATGTGTAAAATAAATGCAAGAAAAATATTTTCAACCATGTATGCAGCCAATGGTCAAAATGGAACTCTTCATATCAATAGGAGAGCAGCCTTGGCCAAATGATGTAAGAAGAATTGTTTCTGAAGGGGCTTGTATGATTCTTTCTGTGTGCTTGATGTAGAAATTGTACAACTTTACATTACAAGATGGCCTTGTCCAGCAATAAAGCAGGGTTCCAGGGAATCTTTCCTACTGGCTTACTAGGACAAGGAAGCATGCTGATGCATGTTATCCCATCACTCCTAAATGCTTCTCCCGCAGTCGGGAGATCTAAACAAATCATAGACCTCTATCTGTGGCATGTTTAGCATTCATGCTTGCATGAACCATCCCGTGGAAGTGATCAAGCTGCATTCAGCAGCACTCTATCCATAAAGGATAAGCCAACATTCTCCAGAGCCCCGGTTTAATCATCATGTTCCAGTGATGGCAACAGTTCTTCATTTTCATATGGGCCAGTTCACAAAACCGAAACATGTCACTATGGCTTAAACAAGTGGTGATGTGACGTGAGACACAGTGCGGACTAGGATTTTTTTCCTAAAAGATATACTCCAATGTAATAGCAACTGTTAATACAGAGATAAGCTACGCAGGTATTCAGCACATATAACATACATTATGCACATGGAACTTAAACAGGTATAGTGAGAACATAAATATTCTAAAGATTTTCTATGGCCCATGGTATGAAGAAACAATCAGATTATGTATAGCCATGCAAGGTAAAGTATATGTATAGCCAAATTAGGTATAGCCATGCAAATTATTCCTTTAAGCCTATTTATTATTTATTTGCTGCACTTATACGCTGTGACTCTTAGCCAAAGGCTCTCAGGGCAGCTCACATACACAACAATAAAACATTAATAAAACAGTACAATGTAAATAATCAAATAGTATAAGAGCAAGAGAATAAAACAGAAATAAAATAACAAAATCAAACAATTTCCAATAAAACCATTCAAAACAGTGATTTAAAATAATAAATAATAAATATCGTCTGGCAAGTAGGCTCTCAACACTGCATCAGAACTTTGTTGTTCCTCTGTTATATCTACATCCAGGAACTATCAGTTTGTGCTTTGGTGTATTTATTTTTAAATCTCACTGATTAACCAAATGCGATGCGTCTGAAGAATTAAGATTGCTTGACAGCCATACTCATGTAAATTTAACAAATGTGCTGACAAATTTGTTATTAGATTGTCTGAAAAAGAAAGCACTAGACTTTCCTAATTATGACTTTGTTCACAAATCTTATCTAGTTCCAAACAAAGGTATGTTACAGATTTAACCTGAATAAACAAAGAGCTCCTGGGAAAGATTTCCGTAGATAGAGCTTGCTTGATGCAGAAATGCTTAACTTCCAAACGAATTAACTTTCTGGAATCCAAATCTTATTTCCCAGTTAAATATGAGCTTTTGTTTTTCTCTCTCTGTGTGTGTGTGTGGGAGAGGGAGAGGGAGAGGGAGAGGGAGAGGGACAGAGTTAAGGATGGTATGAGCGCTCATTTAGTGACATCTACTCCCACCTTGTGGTAAATCTGATACATATTTCTAAAACGTTCTTTTATATTTTTCATCCCTTTAGTAAGAAAAATAAGAAATGTTTCATTAACTTTTCATCTATAAGACAATCTGAAACAGACAGCAATTATTTAATAAAGTGAACACAATTTATCACAAGTTATGATGAGATTTCATTTTTAAAGTATGTGTGTCCATGTATAAGTTGCAAGCAAAAAGAAGACACATGGTCACAAATTCTTTGCTTGTGTTTACTGCTTGTGATCTGGGCAATACATATATTTATTTGCTGCACTCACACCTTATCCTTCCTTTTAGACCACATTGCAGAGTCCTAATCCTATGCCATCCAAAGGTCATGCAAAGCAACACACAGCTTTCTAAACAGAGATGAAACACTCTGTTTCAGAGTGAAACAGAGAAGCCAAACACTCACCAGACCATCAGAAGAAGATAGCTCAGACTATCTTCTTCTTATTTTCAAATGCAGGGGTTTATCTGTATGAGGGAAGCCTAAGCTTAAACAGCTTCAGCTCAAAGGTTGAACTCTGTCTTGAACTCTTGATTAGCTAAGCAACAGATCAAGATTTCTGTAGGTGCACACATGGTGTGAACCCCTGGCATCCTTGAGCAGTGGAATGGGGACAGCATCTGACAGGACACACTACTGAGACACCACCCCAATACACACATTTTTATTTGGGTGGGGGGAATCAGCACTACAAACAGTACTGGGCAGCTGGATCTAACTGCCATTTTAACTTCCCATAATGCCTGGGGATGATGCAGTATGAGGGGAATTGTGGGAAATTAAAATGTTGACTAGATCAGGGACTGCACAAACTCTGAGGGCAGTTGCCAAACCTGCCACACCTTATTTTGAGAAGTTCCGGTGCCTGGTTGGAATGGGATTGGCTGACTCTTTTGGTTCTGTGCCAACTTAGAAGCTTTTTAGAGAATGAAAAACACTTGATTTGCCATTGTACTTATATGTATTCTAGAAATCTGGATCAGATGCTGCTGCATTAATCAGTCACCTATGTGTGATTAGGAGACAGAGCAGGAAGACCTTTTACCATCTGGCATGCTTAATCTCCTTCCAGTGCTTCTAGCAACTCAGGCTTGAGCACAGTGTTCAAACAGGACCTACTCAAACAAAGACCATACAACATACATGAAAAAGGTAAGGCTCTCACTCTCCACCACACATAAAGAAGTGGTTGGGGTGCCTTTGCTCAGTCTAGCTCAGTATCAATTTGGCAGTGAAGGAAACGTTTGAGAGGACTCGGGCTGCTATAGGCACACATCCATTCTTACTTCAGGATGCTTCAGGATTCAGCTAATACATTCAAAATCAGTCACATTCAATACTAAGCTTTCATAGTGTTTGCATGTTTTTCATTGGACAAGGCTGAAATCTATCAAAAGAACAGGTGGTTAGGTTTGAGATACAATTCGACTGTGATGAAAAACTTTAGCCATTGTCTGCAGCAAATATGGCAATCTAATTATGGTATTGTGCTTTTGTCTCAGACTCAGTCCATTAATCTTTCATATTTTCCCCAAGTCACAGTAGAACATTTCTGTTCTCGTGTACTTGTTAAAGCAGCATGGATTGAACACTTACCTTTTTCATTTCCATTTGCATATTGTGGAGGCTTGTTTTTGTCAATGCTATTAAAGCTCTGACTTCTTCGATTTAAGTTTGAGGCTCCCTGAACTTTGGTACTGCTGCCTGCAGCTGGCACCCTTGAGGGTCCGGGAAGCCTAGAACAGTACAGTCATAAATAAATTGGTTGCACACTGTAAACTCATAGGAAACAGAGTATTTTTTTCAGTATAAATCCACAATGATCGTCAATGATTTCAGGGAAAGGCAATGACAATAAACAACAGTATATTCATGCTGCGTTAGACTTGACATTACCAACAAGAGGTCTTGTTTTAATAGGAACAAAAATGGGGAAAGATGCTATATAGGATCACAGACAAACATATAGGGATTCTTTGCATTGTCCATTCATACTGCCAAAAAGTATCAACAACCATAACAAAAAAAAGATTCATCCATGCACAATCTTCTATTCAAATACTTCACTTCCATGCATTTCTAATAAATATATCAAAGTAAAATAACCTAGACATATGCCTTACTCTGGATACTGTGCCTTAAATATGCACTCTACTCAGCTCTGAGGTTTAGTTCTTCTATTGTTCCCAAATCTTGGACATTTACAAAATATACTGGATAAGGTATTCAGTTATTTATATAATTCACATTCAAGTACTTCACATTAAAACACTTGGTTGAATTCATGGTTTGCCCTGAAAGCTACAGCTCTAGCTACATATTGTACTTCTTGGTATTTGCTGCCACCATCTGAAACATCCTTGGTAGCAAATTTAAAAATAGTAAAGATGCTATTGCTTGCAGTACATACAAAACTACACTATACTGTCTGGTTTACGTAATGCTATTAGGCTGCCTTAAATGCTACCTAGAGATACTACTTGCCCGATACAATGCACAGAAGCTGGAACCTCAACAGATTTTTACCAACAGATTATGGACATAGATCAGAATGTGGAAAGCGTTGCTAGCCTGACACAGGAAGGAAAGGAAAGGAAAGGAAAGGAAAAAAATACAAAGACAAAACAGCAAAAATTAAGTTTAGGTATGTAGGGGTTCTTTTTTCATAAACAATGCTTTGCTAACTTTATTGGCACAACAAAACATCTAAAATCAATTCTCTCTTTCTTACACAGAAGTTTTGGACAATGGTATTTCAGATTTAGGCTGCAATTCCATCTACTGTGAAGTAGGCAGCTGGAGAATTGCAACATTAAGGTCTGATCACCCGGCAATTAGTTTTCAGTTCTTTCAAGTTAGTGGTCCCTTTCTTTGTGTCGGCAACAAAGCACCTTGGCTAAGCTTTTATGAGTGCTAAATCTTATCTTGATCGATGAAAACTACAGGTCTATGGCTACTTATTCAGTTATGAATGCACTAAAATCATTAAAAAAAACCCCAGTTCTTTCTATTAAAAGGACTACAAGGGCACTTGCAGAATTGAAAGTGCTTTCAACAGAAAATCGCTTCTGCAGTCCATCCAACACACACATACATACATAATATATACAAAAATTCTAGCAGCTTAAGTAATAACTATTGTATCACTTACTTTCCACTTGTAACCACTTATTCCACTTGCAGACATTCCCCCCACAATCAATTTAAGCAACAAGGAAATGCAAAGTGTAAAGCAACAGGTAATTCACAAGGACATACTTCTGGTCAAAACTTTGCAGACTATAAATTTATAAAGTTAGACAAACAACAACTGTTAGCTCCCAGACAGGATGAATTGTGGATGAGACAGAAAAGTTTGTATAAATGGGATTGAAAACCTATGACCACAGGTGCACAACAACTGCACTCTGGCATAGCTCATTCCAGGCTATCACCAGCAGCTCACAATTGTATTATACAACTGGCTGAATTACACAACTGTTAGTTCATTGTCAGTAATGAACAGGACAGCAAACAGTATGACCACTTTCTGAAGGACTATGCGTAATCGACAAAGACTGAACATAACAGGAAAAGCTATGAGTTCTCTTCTAGGAAAAAAAAGGCACACATTTTAGTGGGTTCATGAAAGAAAGCCACAGCCATGACAGAGACAAGATAGGCAATCAACATGTGGGCTGCCTACAGCTACAAGATTATCCATTGTGCTATTTCATCACTGATTTTGTACAAAACTTTATTAAACAGATTTCAGACTGGAACAGTACTCGTTGCTGTACTCCAGTGATTTGCAAACTGTTTTCACAGAAACATGGGAAGCTGCCAATATCTGCTTCCTGGCAGCAGCTCAGCAATTTGAACAGAAGCTTTTCTCTGTCTCACCTGGAGGCACTGAGGATGGAGCCTGGGACCTGTTCATATGGAAAGCATGTGCTTTGCTGCTGCGTTTTTGCACCTTCCAAAATGAGCAGACTGCTAATAATAGTGGGTTTGAAAACCAGTGTTCTTCTCCATTACTAGGCCAACCAGAAGGCTGTTCCAGGAAAGCAACCTGCTTCTTCTACTAATTTTCCTGCAGTAGCACATGATTCAGTATTTTCTCTTTTGAACTGGGCCAATTAACTGAAAAGGTGATGATTTTGCGAGTTGGAGGAAAAGTCCACCTGGCCAGAATGGAGTTTCTTTCTACTTGAAAGTTATTGGCAAAGAGAGATGTAATAGAAATAGCTTGAAATGCTATAAAGGGTGATGTGAAAACTGCAATAACAGACAAGCACATGAGGCTTCATTTACTACACCACTCCTTTGTTTATTCAGTGTCTGCTAGGCTTCTGTGAGTGTTGAAAAGTTAAATATGGTGAACCTGCAGAATCTGAGGCCTAGGGACCACTTCCAGCCTTCCTCTTCCCATTGTAAAAAGTTGAAATGCTTCTGCTAAGGCTTATTTACTAGCATTTCGAAGATATAAGTTTCTGTATGTGTGTAAGTTTGGCCCCACCCACCAGCAGAATGGGGTCCTGAAAGCTTCTCCAAAATGAAATTTGGCCCTCATAGTGAAAGAGGTTCTGTGTTACCCTTTTAAGGCAAATGCCTACCTAGTTCAGGCACCCAAATGCATGATGGTTTTTGGAGTTTTTTGCTAGCTTTCTCCAGATGGAGAAGGAGCAGGAAACGGCTAAGAGAAAAGGACTATACCTGTAAAGACAGATAGCACTGAAAGTTGGATTTGCCTATATGCTTGGCTGCCAGCAGTTTAGCGTGCAGTACTCAGCATGCACAAATATGATTGCACCTTTAGGTGCAACACTACTGAAGAAAATCCTGCCAGGCTTTTTATATTGCATCTTTCTCTAGCCTGAATGTTGCACAAGAAGGCTTAGAGCACTAAACCCACTCTAGAACCTTGGCCTTAAACTACCTTTTGTTCAGTCAGTTATTTTACAAGCAACATCCTAAGCTGCAACACAAAGATATGCCTACACTATTATACAGAGCTATTATTTTTGCAGTCAGAGGCAGGGCTTCTCCCCTGGCCAACTGAAAATCCTGCAGAGCTTGCATTTAAGATATGATGATAGAGCTTAATGTCTACATTGGTTTAAAGAATATAAATGCCAGCAGGCCGTGACTCCATTAAGCATCACTAGCAAGCAATAAATTAGAGATGTTAACTGACCTAGAAGGCTTTTTTTGACTGGTTGCAATTCCACTGTGATTAGACTGAGTTGCATATCTGGCTGTCAGACTGTATGAGAAGAAACAGAGAAATTGAATTAAAGAATTTTTTGAATATGCATAAAAAGCAGAAACTTACCACCAAATGATGAGTTAATGTAATGCAGATAGAACATGGATAGAAAACAAATTAAGCAAAGAAAGGGTTAAATGTAATGTTGACATCATGAGTTTTCAGAGTACAGACTATGTTGTAATGCAATGCATTGTCAACTGCCCCATCTTGTGGAGGAAGATACATTTTGCCTCAAATATAAGACAACATGCAAGCTTTTTTAAAACACAAAATGCCATTGATTCCTACCTAAAATCCACTTTCAACATTAATTGAGGACATCGCACATGCTCAAATGGGCCATTCTTTACAGAGCAGCACAATTTGTGGCCTTACAGATGTTTTAGCCTACAACACCTGTCAGCCCGGCCATCATAGCAAATGGAGCAGGATCATGGGAGTTGTAGAACAAGGCATATGGAGGACCACAACTTTCTCATGCTGGCTTCAAGACTCTCAGGAGAATTAACAGGGAACATGTGCCATGATTTACTCTTTCAGTAGCTGCCAAAGTAATTGTTTAGAATTTTATATAGCGTTCATGCTGTTTTGCGATGGCAAGACCTTTCCTGGAGCAAGAACTAATTGGAATGACATGACACTGCATTTCAGATACATCTGATTCTTCATTCACACATGGCCCAGTGAGCCCAACTGTCACTAAGTGCACAGGGGCATGGAGAAGATGACCATTTGCTAGCAGTGCTAATAACATCCAAAGCACTGAGGTAGAGCATGAAATACAGCCAAAGGACTGTAACATGATTTTCTTGGAGATGAGGGCAATGATGAGGGAAGTGAATGACTGGCCTTGAGATATGAGATGGAAAAATATATGTGCTGAACAGCTTATCTCCTGGTAAAACTGTTCCTGGCATGTGCCACTTCAGAACACAGGCACGGCAGCCTGGGACCAAACCAGGCAAAGCAATCCAAAACTCAAGGCAAGTTAAATGTCAGTCTATTTCCTTGATGAGCAAGCACCAGCATAAAGCACACAAGAATCAGCAGGGAGGCAGAATGGGAGGAATGAGATGGCCAGCTGGACTTCCGGGTTGTCCTAATGTAGGATGGGCCAACACAGCCGTACTACTCATAGTGGAGAAAGTACTGCTGTAATCTAATATGTAGAAACAGTCAGAGAAGGCAAAATCAATCAACACTGCAAGAGAAAGCAACAGTATGTGTGGGAAAGACTGGCAGGGTTAGGGAAGACTAACAGTTTGGAACAGCATTCCATTTGCTGCTGTATTTGTATATCAGTTTATTACATCACATTTATTCCCTGCCTTTCTTCCTCTTGTAAGGGACCTAAGGTAGCTTACAAGGCCTTCCTCCTCTCTGTTTTATCCTCACAATAACAGCCCAGGTGGCTCCAAGGCTGAGTGGGGACTATAACCCAGATCTTTTATGTCCCAGTCCAGCACTATTAAACTCCACATTACCATAGCTTCCAACCAGATCGGCTGAAAAGGAGGAGAACAACTACAAAAGTCAGCCCTATAATTAGTGGTTTACTATAAAGCCAGTCACTTTCACATCAACAAATACTGACAATTAGTTTCTGTGTGAAAAGCTGGCATGATTCTCTTGGCTCTTACGTGAAAGCAAGAAAGACTATTTCCATGTAGAATAGAGTTAAGCAGTTTGTTTGACTCACAATGGTTGCTGAACAAAAGGGGCTTTGACAGGACTATCCAGTGGTGGGGGTGGAGAGAGAGGCTAGACAGCGTGTGATGGACTACTTGTAGCCAACTAATATCAAGACTCATTGCACAGGCAGTCATAAGGAGAGAATACAGACCTGTGATGAACACTGAAGCTGATACTGGGCTCTGTGAATTATTATTGAAGTCTGGCTTAATAAATGGAAGGGTAAAGAGCTTATTGATTAAACACAGGCTGTCGTGCAAAACAGATTTGCTAGCAATCTAGAAAGTCAAATGTGCTCCTAATTCTAAATGTAGGAATGCTACTTTTTCATCTGTAATAGCTTTTCACTTACATGGGAATCAGTATTGAAAAAACTCCCCAAACTGGTGCTTAAGAAGCTTGAAAGCATTACATCTGTCCCTTTCAATATCCAGTACTTTTAACTTTCATTTACAACTCATTTGTGATGACATTTTAAATTATACATTGTTATTAGGTAAAAGTGAGAGAATGTGGAAACAAAATGCAGTATAAAAGGAAACAAGTGAAAAGGCCTACCTAGTTTAAAGAAACCCAACAACCTCTAAAGAAAATGAGATCTACCACCACTCTAAGAAGCTCTCCTGAACAAGTGAAAGGAATGGGCACTACACAAGACAATTACTATTCTAAGTTTTCATTTATTCTTGGAATAGCTTGAGTTGCCAGGCTGTTTCGATGTCTTATTTGTTTTTGACATCAAGCAGTTGCTCATTAAGGGAGAAATTCAACTGGGGCAAGGACAGACTTAGGAGGCTTCAGGGGTTTGGGCCCTGAACCACTCCCATGATAATGAGTATTTGAATGCTACAATGCTGGGAGAAATATAATTAAGTTCAGATGTCCCAGGAATCCGTCCTATACTGACACCCCCTAGCCCAGTACATCGGTACTGGCTGCCAGCCATTCTGCAGGGTCCTGTGCAGACTCTTCATAGCTCTTTCTGAAGATGCCACAGAATGAACTTGGAACCAGCTGCTATACCCCACTGCAGTCCCTGAGTCACCTTCTCAAGCCCAGTCTTCTCTCAAAGGCAAGGCTGAACCTGCAGTGAAGGGCAGGATCCCCACTTTCTCCTAATTTTGGTGCCAGGCTAAATGCTCTGCTGAAGCCTTTACCAGCTCCAAACAGCACATGGGGGGAGGTATTGCCAACTGTTTTTCAGCAGGTCTAGTAGCGTGGATTGGGTTTAGCTGTTTAGTTGTAAACATGTGGTTTTAAATTTTGTAAGGGAACTTTAGCTATTGAGTGGCATAGAAACAAGATGAATCAATGAATTGAACAAAATTCTTAAGCAGCCCGAAATAGAAACCTTACTTATTTGTATTCATTAAATTAATTTTAAAGCACCATTCACGCTTCTGGATACCAGGGTGTTGTACAACAGGTATGATTATAGTTATATATTTAACATCCAGAAAGGTAATATCCACAAAATGCAATCATCTGACAACTGGACAAGAGAAAATAAAATGCCCAGGCAAACAAAACTTTTGTAATCAACTGCCAGAAGGACTGAATCACCTCTAAGGAGATGTTGTCTGACATTTGGGGCACCAATATGGAGAAGGCTCTCTCTGCAGGTTATTTTTTAATTATTTGAAACCCACAGACTTTAAGGTTAATTGTAATGTTCTTTTAATGGTTTTGTGCATGCTACTGTCTTTTTCCTCTATGCTCCATCCAGGATTTATTTCCTGCTTTCTATATCTGAATAGATTGACACAAACCAGTATAAGTAGCCAACTCAATTAAGAAACAAAGAATTCATTTCAGCTTATTTATCTAAAATTATTTTTAGGCCACCCTTAAGTGCAGAGCCCTCTCAAGTTAGTGTCCAAAATAAAAGCTGTAAAAAATGGATACAATAGAAATTGAATAAATACTTATTCAACAACAGGCTAATTTATTCATTCAAAATAAATGCAATACTTTCCTTGATTATCCCTGAGGCTTCAGAAATAGCCCTAATAGCTTAAGTAAACTGACAAACTTGTCTCATTAACCCTAGATTAAAAAACAGCAATAACCACCCTTGAATCTTCCATCAAAGGTTAATGAGGAAAGCCCAGCAGTCACTGCTTGATTACATACAAGAGAAGGAAAATTAGGGGTATCTTCCAGGATGCAGTGATTGTGCCTATCAGTCACTAAAGGCATATTTATATGTAAATTCAGTAGCTCACAGGTTTACGTGCATCCTACCCAGTCCAGAGGTATCACTGGAAAATGCATGTGAAGTTTCAAAACAAAATATTAAAAGGATAATTTAAAGACGTTTTTCTCAACCTGGAACCCCTCCAATGTGCTAAAATGCAGTTCCCATAATCCCCAGCCAGAATGGCCACCCTGACTGTGCATGATGGGATTTTTAGTCCAACCCATCTACATGGCACCAGGTTGGGGGAAGCCTGATTTCTATTCCAATAGAGGCCAGCTACAGTCATTAAGCCTTCAGTTAAAGATGAAGTATGAGGAAGTGGCAGGAAGAAATTAAAACATGTTCATTTGCCTGGAGTAAATGGCAAAATGAACTTCTGTGTCTTAGTCAAACATATGGAAGATACTTCTAAATATTGTACACTGATCCCAGAGCTAAAGGTGGCTGATTATGTTGTGAAAGAAACATGGTAACATTGAAACATTCTGTAGTACAGGTGATATACACAACCAAGTTGTGATACTTCTGCTTCTGCCTCTGCATTTGCCTCCACCTCTACTGGAGTGGGGCAGAGATGGGGGGGTCTCAAGTCTAGTGCTATGATGCAACTCCATGGAGTCCATCGCATGAGCATCCACAGACTTCCTCTCATGCTTAGTTTGTTCTTAGAAAGAGAGCAGGGGTGAGAAAGAGCCTGTGAATGCTTATAAAGATAGCAACCTTCTTTAGTGTCATGCACTCAAAAAAAAAAAAAAGGCTGCTGAACCTGACATGGATGATGGATGCTCCATGCAAAGTGGCTGCTCGATTCCTGGTGAGTGCTGCTCCTACACCGGCTGCAGTCATCAGGAGCTCAGACTCATATCCATGACAAATTGGGTTGGATTCCAGGGATTCCCATCCCCAATCAGATTCCTCACACATCCCTTCTGAAGCCAGTTTCTTAAGTACATTAGTGTCTATGAATTATAGAGAAGTGTTTGTGGGTTCTGTTACCGAATTTGCAAGTAAACTAGATTCCAGTGTCATGCACACTTAACATTCAGCCTAGGACACAGAAAATAGAAGTAGGTAGAAAGAGTGCTGAATTGTGCTTCATCTA